GTAAAGTTCAGTTTTGAAATTCTAGTTCAGTTAGAACTTGTAGCTACATTGTTGTTCTTCTGTTGTGACTTGTATGCCATTGATGTTTCTATATAAATGTTTGCCTCAACTGATTTATATATATCTTCTATGATTATTCCTTTTATCTGGATGGCTTTGGTGGGTGAAAAATATATCTACTGTCTTTCTTTCTGTACTTTTACTAAGAAAAATATTTTCTGAAATGGAGAGAATATTATATGTAGTCTGAGTGCTGCATTATCCTTTTGTGACAATGCATGCAATGATGGAGCCATGATGCATCATTGTCATTATTGACCCTCTTATAAAATAAATACCCCTCTGAAAAATACTTAATTCATCTGAATTGTACCAGTAGATTACCATTAGTTTTGAAGATAATCTTATTTTGTAATCCCCCTCTCCTTGAAAAAAAAAAAGATTGTTGCAAAACTTTTGAGGTAAATCCTTATTTAATTGGATTACCTGTTGCTCTATGACATCATCCGAAAGTATTTTTTACCTGATTAACAGTAGGTTTCCTTCATTGTGATTTATTGCCATGTTGTATGATGTACAAATATTTTGAAAAAATACACAACTTTATCAAACTAACCTTTTTATTACTATTTATAAAGTTTTGCTAAGGATTTATTCTGTTACATTGGTTAATGAAATAATTTTAAGTAGGTAAAAAAGTTTTCAACTTTGGATTTGTCTACTTCTCGAAGTATAAAAAATATGACATACAGTGCCATAACTAGTTCCATATTTAACTGAAGTTACACCAAATGAAATGTAAAATCCTACAGCTTCTGGAGTTACTGAGCCACAGATCCCTTCCTTTTGATCCTTAGTGGCCTATAGTTGCTTTCTTAGCTAAGGTTTTATAAGTTAGACATGTAGAGTACCTTACCATAGCTAAGAAATATTTTAATAAATTGGATGCAGATTAGTGATGGTTGAATTCAGTAACAAAATAAGCTCCTTTAAGATTTTATTTCAATCCTATATAACATTTATTAAACCTGGACATTGGATTGAGTACTTGAACAAATTCCTTAGTGCTCACAACAATATCAGAAGCCCATTTTACTTTTCAACAACTTTTCCCTAAAAATATTTCCTATACTTAAAAACACAATGTGTCTTACATTACACAAATTATCTTCACCAAAATATCTACATGCATTATATCATAGTCCCTTTTTTACTTCATCAATGATAATTATTTTAAAACAATAATTTTTGCATGCCTGAACCTAAGCAAAACACCAGTCATGATACAGTGAAACATCATGTTATATGGTATAACCACATTCACCAGTGTGTGTAAAGGATTAATTTACATGTCATAACTCTGCAGTAGTCTGTCCAAACAACATTGTATAGTCCTTTTGTAGTTCATCACACCTTTTGTCTATCATCTACATACTCAGCTGAAGTTTTAATCATTGTGTAGTTATACCATTCTGTCGGTCTGCTAAAAAAATATTGGATTTTTTTTTTATACATTGTGTACAATTCATTCTTTTGTCAGAATGAAGTTCTGTTGGCACTTTGCATACAACCAGTGCTTCTGGAAGACTTAAAACATGAGGTAAAATATATGAAAATGGATCCAAAAAAGGCAAGGATTAGACTTAAATCCAGAAGTTATTTTGCACTGTGCAATGAACACTCCAAATTCTGTTGCAATAAGTCAATAACATTCTTTGATTTGTTTCAGAGCATATAAGCTAACTTTTCTGCTTCAATATGGCTCCTAGTTAACTTTGAAACCATTGAGTGGCACATAATGAGAAAGTAGAAATGATGCATAAATGATAATAAAGAATGAATTGACACATCTAATTGAAAACTTTTTAGTTTATTTTGTGCAATGGTTTGATCAGACACCCTTCGTCAGGCGGTAAGGACTGTGTTACAATGGAATTAAGCTCAGAAATAATTGTTAAAAATTAAGATAATACAAAGGTTCTAATTACACACATTGAGGTAAAACAATACAAATAATACATTAAATGTGTGTAATTAGAACCTTTGATTTATGAGTCTAATTCCATTATAACATGATCTTTGCTGATTGACAAAGGGTGTCTGCTTGAAACATCACACAGAATAAACTAGAAAAAGTTTTAATTTTAATGTGTCAATTTATCCAAGTTTTCTTCTTGCATCTTGCAGAACAACACTCTTTCATGATCATTTGCATAGTTCAGTTGTAGTTAAAGAACACAACCCGTGTTCAATTATGAGAATTGGCTGCTGTTTTCTAGATTTCTGTCATTTTAATTGTGAAATTGACCATCTATTCAATTTGCTCAAATCTGGTGATCAAAATGTTTTAGAGGGTGTTTGAAGTGTTGAGGGTCAGAGAAAAAATTCTAGTTCAGTGCTAGTAGGCTTGATCGAAGATTGCCTTGTCTTCTTTGATGTTTATTTTAAACTGAAATCAGTATATGAGCCTCCTTTTAACTGGCTGACTGATGGACAAATGAACAATCTCAAAATGTCTTTTGAAGTCAAAGGTATCAAAATGTCTTACAAATGCACAAACTTCATAAAATGAAATGGCAGATGATCAAAAAAGATCACCATAAAGGCAGCTTTAAATCTTTCCCCATTGGCCTTAATGGTGTGAACTTTTTGTCCATTTGTGTAGAATTAAATAGAATATGTATTTTTCTTTCATTGGACATTTTTTTGTATGTGTGAAATGACTTATACAGAGCCTACCTTGGACAGGGATAGACATAATACAATGAAAGTTGGGGGGCAGGGAATAGTTGTTTTAAGTAATAAAGGACTTTTTGTTACAAATGAAAACATTAAAAATGTATTAAATGTTACAGATTCCAACATTATTTTCAGTGTCATAAATTTTGATATACACACATCTGATTATCATTTGCATTGATCCAAAACTTCTAGTCATGTATTACAATGCAGAATTTCTATATTTCATAAAGTATTACATTCAATTTATAACATTCATATTTAATTCAGTGTATATTGCTAAGTCAAAATTTTGCTATTCAAAAAATCTAAAAAGTAAGGGTGGGATAAATAGTAATTTTGGTTGTATATTGGATATCTGGTTTCTGAAATTCGATCAAATGGATATATATTTTTGGATTGGATTGTAGATTTGTCCATAGATATTGAAAATGTGCTACAGGTATGGACTACCAGTTCATTATTGTATAGTTTTATAATAAACTATTTTTATTTTATCATTGTTTTTGAAAATTTAATAAGGATGTCAATGCAGATGTACATTTCTGCATAAATGAGTGGCTGTTGCAGGCTCTTTAAGAGTATGCTGCATATAGTGGCTTCAGACTGCTTTACACTCCCAATTATCCACAGAGACTTGTTTGGATTGTGCATTGCTGTTGCTACCTTGACCATCTGTGGCATACAGTGGCAATGTGGTGAGTGGGTGTGATGCTTATTATGATTACCAGGGTTCCCACTCTTTAATACCAGGAAAAAATTTTTCTGTGCTTAGAAGCTAGTAGAAAGCACCAATAGATGATGTAATGTCTATTATGTGTGATGCAAATACAAGTAATATCATGTCTGTATAATATTGTGAGATCATCCATTGATGGAAATCCTATCTGATTATTTTATTCATTGCAAAATTAATATCTGATCCAATTTCACTGGATAGTGCAATATTCAATTGGATCAGATATTTGGCCTGTCCCTTCTAAAGCGTTTTGTTTCAGTTAAATTTTATGGCACAGTAAGACATCTTTGTTCTTAAGTGCAAGTCAGAGATTATATTCAGCAGATTTAATACAATAAAGAAGAAAATAATTACAACCAACTTTTCTGTACTTATCTAATGATTATCTGCTATTCATTTATCATGTCTCTTTATTAGCCAAAATGTACTGAAGAAATGGGAGGATAATGTTCAGTATGTCCTTTATTAGTTGTTCAGGTGATAGCTAGAGGTTACACTCCCTCTATATTATAATAAGAATTACCAGTAACCTATTATCTAGCAGACCTATCCAATATCACTCAAAAGTGCAGTTAATTCAGCTAAATTATTAATAATTTAATTTAATTTGGGTAAATGATTAATAATTTAATATTTCTGTTATGTTGTACTTGGAATGGTTATTCAGAAGAACAGTTTATAGGCTTAATGAATTATGTTGCCTTCTGTGAACTCTTAGATCTGTTTTAGCTATATATGAAATAACAATTTTCTGTGTTTTATTTTTTAATAATTTGAAAAAACTATCCCCTGGTGGGACAGTGGTAAGTCTACAGTCTTACAGAGCTAAAATCTGGGTTTTAATTTCCTGCATTGGACACAACAGATAGTCAAATGTGGCCTTGCTCTAAAAACATAAACAAATAAATATTTATTTCAGGAATTTATATTATATAATTTTAATATTACTAGTAATGTAAAAGAGAGAAATTTTTATACACATTATTTTAGAAAAGTGTATTTACCATCTTGATGAAATATTTAATCACAAATTAGTGAAAATAGGCATAAAAGTAAAAAACAAAAAAAAAGAACAAGCCAAATGAAATAAATTTTTGCAGTTTAAATTAGGAATGATATTAAGTGTTGTAAAATTTATTTTTTGCTTCATTTGAAATGGAGTGGAACTTGTAATACACTCAACCCAAAATCTGTTGAGGAATAATTTTATATTTTTTGGTCTTTTTAAGTTTTTTGTTTAAGAGAAGTTTCCCAGACAAGTTTCTTACATTCATTTAGAAAATTGGGGATATTGTGATTTTCAAAAGCTCATTTTATTAATATTTTCATTGCTGTTGTTGTCTTGCAAGATTATTATTTATTATTATCTTAAGTTACTTTAAGCAGATATTAAAAATGTGAGCTTGTCAGTAAGAACTATATTCAGAAGACAGTGTTTCAGGCTGCTGTCGTGTTTAAATCTGTTTGTAGTTTATTATGATTTCCTTCATATTTTAAAATTGAAACACATTTATGTTTCTAGTCATAGTATCAAGACTTCCTCCAATAAAATACCTGCCAGAGGCAAGACCAAGTCCAACATGGTTACCACCAGTGAATTATCCAGCTCAGCACCCTGATACCACGAATAATAATGAACAGGTACATCTATTCATCATTATAATTTATTAAACATCAAATCAGCTTTATGAACAACAAACACCAGTCGAGGGGTAAAATTCTGTGCTTGTACATGTATGTGATTGAACAAGTATTAACATGATAATCAAAGGTTTTTTTTTCAGTATGTGTGGAGCAAAGTAACATTCTGATATGGTATGTTACCTCCTCTTTCAGTGCTGACCTCTATATGCAAAACTTTTTTTTGTATGCCACAAGCCTGGAACTCCCATGTTCCCCATGATCAGTGGTTCAACTGAGTTTCACATATAATCCATCATGCAACAACCCTCCACCAATAGGAGTGCGACACATCCTCCTGACACATGTAACTCCCTCCATTTGATTTTACTAAACTATCACTTCTCGATAGGCAGTGATCCAGTGCAGATGTTTTTCAATTGTGACACAACTTGCCATGAGCTGGGTCGATACACTTGGTAGCAGATTGCCTCTGTCAGCCAGACTTGATTATATCCATGGAGTGTTCACTCCTCCCTCAGGTGTTCATTGATGCCTTCGCCACTTCTCTGAACATCAAACTTCTCTTTTTTTAGTTCCCAGTTCCTCAACCTTCAGCCCAGGTAGTCAATACTCTCAGCCAGGACTGGTCTTACCTTTTTCTCTATGCCTCTCCTCTTCATTGTCTTCTCTTTTGTGTTCCCACTTTGATACGCTACATTCCTTGTTGGATCCTATTGGTGGTGCATCTTTAGCTCTTTTGTCAACTGACAACCAGGCCCCCCTGTTCTTCTGCCCCTTTCTCACTTTCTCTTGCTCCAACCACACCTCTTTTTCACACATGTGTGTCATCCCTTCATATGTGAGATCTGTCTGGTCCACTGCCCACAGTGCTAAAACCACACCAAACTTGTTGGCTTGTATGCAGATGCTCGGTTGGTCATGTAGAAATTCTGCCAATCCCTGCAATACTTGGGGCTCTTTTGCTTCTCCTAGGTGAAGAGTATACCCTGGTCAAGACAAGAGGCAGTCTCCCACCGGTGTACCTCTATGGAGCTCCTGCCATTGGATCTAACACTCCATGAGTTTTCCCGTTTGGGTGCTTTCTGAATGGAGCTCATCTTGGTTTAATGTTTGCACCAGTCCCTCTGCCATTTCAATCTGAGATTTTTAGCTATTTGATGTACTGAGGTCAGGTATCATCTCAGAATTTAACGTTTTCCTTACCTGAAAATGTATTTCCAATAGATTACTCACCTCCAAACACCTTCCCACCCGTGCTTCCCACTTCTGGTTCATTTTCTTTTTGCCTTGTTTAAGAATGAAGTTAATTGAAGTGCAAGTGCTTAAGGGGAGCTGCTGTGCAAGGAGATTGTGTTGCCCTCCTATTAGTGAAGGGCTATCATCATATGATGATGTCATCATGCATTAGCACAGTTCATGTTCAACATGTACTTTCTAGATGGATAGTAGCTAAAGTTTAGTGGTATGTAAAACTCTAAGGCAGATGCATGAAGAAATCAAGTTATTCTGTGTGAGGGGGAGGTGAATATCTATCAGAAATACATTTTCAGGTAAGGAAAATGTTAACTTTCCAATGAATAACTTAAAATAGTTTTCAAACTTAAGAATAAAATTTACACACAGTTGTGTCTCCATCGAAGGTCTATTTCTAAGAACAGTGTCTTACCTGGATTTCTGAACAGAACATAATCTAATATGATCAACTTGTATGATATACTCTGTATCATAAAAAAATAATTTTAAACCCTTGAAGTACAAGATTTAAATATTAGTAGATGTGGCTTGTAATTATCAATACAGTAACTTATACTGTGTAAGGTTGTTAAAAAATTAAATAAAAATCACTTTTAGTTTTAAAAAAATGTAATCTGCATAACTTTAATCAACATGTATTGAACTATTTTTTATATATCTTATTTTTTTTACAACTGAAATTTTTTTAAACTTGCATCATTGTTTAGTTCATTGATATGATAAAGTGTGATTTTTGGCTTCAGTTTCTTATGTGTTTTCCATATTTTCCATATTAGAATAAGAGACAATTCATGTATAGTGGTGTGTAACTCAAATGATGTTAGGGATGAAATGAAAATCATTGTTTGAGGTGGAATAATTTATTTTCACATTAACTTTGTACGTGATTTATTTATTATACTGAGTGGTAATTGCTCTTAATTAGAACAAGTTTCATATGCTAATGTAGTGGGATTTTGCTATAGATGCTAATCATGAGGCTGCAGGTGACATGTATATTTGGTTCATTGCAAATCCTCACCATTTTGATAAAGTAAGGCAGTCACAGATCAGGGTTTGCAATAGTACCGACAGAATCAGGTTGCTGGTACCTGTACTCGAGCAGCTCTAATTATGTGACTTGAGCAGTTAGTTATTCTTCTCAGTGTCTTCTCGTGGGGAAATGTTTTTTCACATCAAACTAAATTGTCAATTATCTGTAATCCTTCATGGTATGAAAACTGTGGAAATGAATCAGTTGAATTCTAGGCTTTCTATTGGCTATAAATTTAATGGAAGTTGGCCTCAGAAAAATCTATTAGCAAATTGTAAATTAGAGCATGTCAGAGGTAGGCTTGGAAAGTGGTTTCTGAATTTTCATTGATTGCTCTTTAGTCCCATAAGATTGAAGAATATATAAATGTAGTTTCAGAATATTGATGACGAAATTACAGAGAATATCTTGTTACATTTCATAGTTTTCTAGGAGGTGGACAAAAAAATCCTGAAGAGGAGATGGCTCAAGAACAAATATCCAAATTCTCAAACTATGAGAATTTGAGGTTGTTTTTAAATATTTTCTTATACAATCAAAACTTGTATATTATTAAAATTTGATTTATTATCTCTGATTTGATGTCAAGTCTGTTTGTATACCATGATAATTAAGTAGTTTAGTTAAACTTTGAATGTAATTCACTAAAATTTTGTGACATGCGCAGTTTGATCTGTCCACATAGACACATTCACGTTCTCTTTCAGAGCATGGGAGTCACCAGTTTCCCATATATCATGCTATTTCCAATTTTCATGATGAGATTTGCTTATTGACTGAAGTATGAACTTAAAACTACCACATCAAACATTTATAATTCTATGAAAAGTGAAGCTGAAATACCAGAAGAGGCATTCAGTCAAAACTCTGAAGATGGGACATGTGATAACATATTATTCTCAACATATGATATACTTTAAGCCAGTACCGGTACTGGATGCCGAGTATCACCGGTACCGATACCATCTGCAAACCCTGTCACAGGTGGACTTATAGTTAAAGGAATGTGTCCTAACCTTTTCTAAGGGAGAATATTTATATAGCAAGGTTTTGAAACAGTGTATAAACATAATTGTTATACATTATTTCTTAGGAAAATGTTTTCACTTTTCTTCATGGAAGCAGGAAGCTTGCAAAACAAAGAATTTAGTAAATCAACAGTTTTTGAAACCACACTCCAAATGAATTGAGAAATATACTTATTTTCAAAGTGAGGCTATGGTTTGGAATGAAAACTCTCCTACCCAGAAAGCCATTAAGATGAAGCTGATGGCTATAGTATCTGGTAATTATAATAAAATAGTAACAATGATTTGAAGTTGACAAAAGATCACAATCCAAAATTTCAAAAACACTTAACTATACTCCAAAATCAAGGGATGTTTTCAAGGAAAAGATTGCAAAAAAACTGGAATATTGGAAAGACCATTGAACCATATATTTTCCAGGTTCTTACACGCAGGCAGTAGACTTTTGTGCCATTGGTTTGGTTAAACATAGTCTTTGAAATTGATGTCCATTTGCAGTGGAAAGTTTGATGAAGAGGTGTGGTTTAACATTTACAATGGAACTTGTAGTATTGGACAATAATGAATAATCAACGATGTAGGATTTACATGTACCTCCAAGGGCAACAACATACCTGTATCCTAATGTTTATATAATGTGATTAACCCTCAATAGCCACTATTCATATTCTAAGATTTGGACTTTTGTTTGTACACAGGTTTCTTCTTTTATCAGAAAACATGGTCTGAAAAATCCCATGCAATGTTTATATCAGTAAAATTGCTCATGTATTTTCATGTATAACATCATAAAAACTAAATTCTGAAAAATTGGTTTTTCATTTTTCAATTGACCGACATGCCTGCACCAAATATAATTTGAAACATGAACAGTTAACCATATGCGATTTGCTTGACCTGATAACTAATGACAATGTAACCACAAAATTATACATACTACAACTCACAAAATTTGACAAGCTTTAAGTAAACATTAAACATCCATTGTATACAAAATAAAGTATTTTAACTAAAGCTTTTCTATGAATTTATGAAATCTTTACTGATTGAGTCTGAATAAAAGAGGATTTTCATGCTAAGAATAAAAATATTTTTTTCATCATAGTGTTTTTTTTTTATTTGCATAACCTCTAGAACTTCTCAAATACCAAAAGTTTTTTTTTTTTTGTAAAACTTTATACTGTATCTTTTATTTTCTCTACCCCAACATTAACTATAGTAAAACCATTTGTAGCAAAAGTTGAAAAATATACAGTAAAATCAAAATTAGGGTAAATAAGCTATTGAGTTACATCACTGAACAGTAGCCCATGTACAGTTCCTTGAGGATAAAGTTTTCTTATTTAACTTAACAAGTTTCTAATTTTTACATATTAGTTTGTTCTGTTAAGAAATGTATAACAAAAAAAAATGTAGGTAAAACCAAAGAAATTTAGCTCAGGTGCATGATTAAATAAGTTTATATTTTTGCCTGCATTGGTTGTCCAAAAACAATTCATGTAGCTTTAAAATATGCATTTTAGAACACAAAAAATATATCAGAAACTAGAATAGAATGTCTCAAAACTACTATGATTTCTCTGGATTTGGAAAGCTATATATATAAAATACAGGAAGGGACTTTGGAACAATGTAAAGTTAGACTTCGAACTCAATCTGAAAGGCAGGCTACTCAAGGCAGCAAGAAACTGTTGAACAGCAAAAAGCCAGAGTTCAGTCACAATCATCAAGGCAAGCTGGATATAGACAACAAGAAACTTCTTAACAACGTCAAACCAGACTTCAATCACAAAAATTAAGACAAATTACTTACAGAGAGCAAGAAACAGAGGAGCAACATGATGTATGACTTCAGGCTCAAAGAACGAGACAAGCCCAAACACGATCTAATTTCAAATAAAGCTTTGTTTCATTAAATGCTTTTTTATTTCTCGCATCACAGCTTTTGTCTACTTACTGAATAATTTGCTGAAAAAAATACTGATCTATACATTTCAAATCTAAATTTTCACCGTGCAATGCCGGGTAACTCAGCTAGTATCCTATAAATAGATTAAAAAATTCCATTACTACTTGGACCAGCATTTAGTCTAAGCAAATCTTGTCAAATATTTTTCTTTTATTATGTATACCATGACATTCAGTTTATGTTAAGATATGAATTACTTGAGGGATAAAAATGGTATTGTATCAGAGCTATATATATGATCTGTTTGAAGGTTTTTGTAAATATTTAGTTGTGGTGATGGTTGAAGGTTTACCTATTGTGAAGTATTGTCTAAGGTCTTGTGTATATAGTTGATCTGATAATGGGTGTAGGTGAAAATTGAATGTTTTTTTTTTCTGTTATTTTTTATTTTATGAAGTTGCAAACTATTTTTGGGGGTCTGATGAAATTTTCAACAGTCATGGATTAAAAAATCTGTTATAATTGTTTTTATTGCACATGTATACTTAATCCTTATTATTTGTTATGTTTTTAAAAGTATGGTCTTCCTCCACCTGAGGATGAAAATAGAATCCCAGAAGTTATTCCACCAATTAGCAAGGAACCAGATATAACAGGTAAAGGCACTTTTAAAGAAAAAACGGTTGTGGAACCAGTCAGCCCTACTGAAAACCAGCTTGGGAATGAGCTCAATATTATGGGCCAAAAGCAAGATGAACATTCAACTTCAATTTTTTTCCAGACTGGAACACTTTGTGGTGTGTAACACTGGTGCTTACATATTTTATGTGTTGTAAAGTTTCTGGTAACTAATCTTTACAAGAGCTAGCTAGCAATGTGTATTTATTTTGAAAATATAATTATATGCTGAATGCAGTTTGTAGTTAACTAACTTTTAAAATGCAGATATTGAAGATCCTGCTAAAACCAATAATCAATGGAATTGCTTTGTCAAAATATCCCATCAGAAAAACATG